ATCGCCGCTCTCCATGTTCTTGAAGTAGACCTGCCACGAAACGTGGACGCTCTTGGGGTCCTGCTTCCATTGAAGATACATCTCATCGATGTAGTTGGCGGTGCTCCCGGAAAGGAAGTTATCGCTCGGGTCTGGAGAATTGTCGATAGCCGCGGTGGAGTAGCTGCGATGGGCGGTGATGGCCATAGACCGCCGAGTCGACGATAGCTTCCATGACGAGGTGCGCGCGGCGGTAGTCGAAATAGGCGACGAGTATGAAGAGGAGCGGGCGCCTCTGAGCAGCTGCGAGCTAGCTCTACTTAAGGAATTTCTCAACATCGTGATAGGAAAGGGTGGCTAGTATTAGGGATCCAAACGCTGTTGCGATGGGAGGAAAAGAAGGAAGAAATCAGAAATGGATGCACGCACGTCCTTCTCTTCGGCTACTGGAGGACAACGACGCGGCTAAGTGTAGCTGTCTCGCTCGGCTCCACAGGCGAGGTAGCCGGAAACCGTGCTGCAAATCTGCCTGCCCCAGCTATGTACCGAGAAAGTGCCTGCCCTCATGCGCCACAGCACCTAAGCAAGGTACCATAAAACATGCATCAATGGCACACCCAGAACCTGCAGCTTTCAATTTTGTCATAATATCAAGACAATCAACCTAGTGATAGACACACTGTCAAGCTAAATATTGTAGAATAATATGTTGTTTTCTTGCCATTGTGTTGAGTATTATTAACAAGAACATTAGGTCCCCAGGTACTCACCTCACGTGAAAAGGGCTTTATTTAGTGTGCCATGTTTTATATCAGCCACTTCAGGTATTACGTCGCTACCTTGGAAGTGCCAATGCAATTTATCCAATCGCAGTCGGCGCCATCTCCAGTCAGCGGAACAGCCGCTCTTTCGCACGCACACAACACACACCAAGACCATAAAATGCACCACGCACCAGTGTGGATCCGCACAGAGATGTCGGAAAAAGTGCGTTCGGTGTAAATGACCTTGGTTGAGTTTGTGTCAACCGCTTGTGACACCGGCGGCCTTTCCTCTCCTCCTTGTTTTCACCAAGATCCCACCAGCCAATCAGCCGTACAAGGGATTTTCATCTCAAAATGCCGGACACTAAAGGGTCAGCAAAGCTGGCCCGTTCAAAGGCCTTGGATCATCTTATTATGGGGGTAAGCCAGCAAGCAAGTTTTTGTGATTTGCCAGTTACATGCTAGGAATATGTTCTGTTACCGATACTATTAGTTTGGCGCATGACTTCTGTTTTGCAAGGTAGCCTTCATTCTCTGAATACTAATAGACCAAACCGTTGCACAGACAAACAGTAGTAGCATTGTTTCGAAACGCAGTGTCGAGCGACTCTACTACGCCAACGAGTCTCATTACTTTCGTCACTTTGTCAAGAAGCCTCAGAGGCGGGCACCTCTGATTAATCGTGGTTACTGGCTGCGTCTAAAAGCCATAGATGTCATTGTTAGACAGTTCCTTCGTAGCACACCCTCCAAGAGAGTTGTCATCAATCTGGGCTGTGGTAGGTAAGAATGTCCCTTGCTACCTCCATCATTCGAACTATCCCTTAACTTAAAATGGTGTTGAAAAAGTGATGTGTTGCCTTGGCAATGCCACACTCGTTACGGCCCTAGTTGCCAGGATGCTGTCTTCATCGACGTTGACTACCCAGATCTCATGCGCAAGAAGCGTACCATCGTCCTGGAGACACCCGAACTCCGCGGGATATTGGGTCCGGACTTTAAGACAAGCCAAGTCGAGAACGATCCGGTCTTGCTGAAGAGTGACAGGTACTGCCAGCTGGCCTGTGACTTGCGCGATCTAAAGACGTTTCAGCAGACTCTCGAATCTCTCCTCCCGCTATCCGAATGTAGTGTTCTGTTCGTAGCAGAAGTATCCATCACCTACATGGACACTGAATCTGCGGATGCCCTGATTCAGTGGGCGAGCTCAATTGGAAAAGGTACGTAATTTCCCTTTAGCATCGTCGCCTTGCCCTCCAACTAACAACACACATAGCCGAGTTTTGCCTCCTGGAGCAGATTCTGCCCAACGGGCCACACCACCCTTTCGCACAGACTATGCTTAAACACTTCAATAAGCTAAACACGCCTCTGAGATCTGTTCATCAGTATCCGACCGTGGCAAGTCAGTCCGCCCGGTTTCAGCATCGCGGTTGGCAACAGGTTGACATCTGGGATCTCTGGGATGCATGGGTGGATGACACTTTCGTGACATCCACAGAACGAGTTTCGCTAGACGATATTGAACCATTTGACGAATGGGAAGAGTTTCTACTTTTCTGCCGTCACTACGTTGTCATACATGCCCAAGCGGCTGGTTCTGGCATATCACGTTCGTTCGAAGAAATAGAGCCAACTCGGTCTCTCGATGTCCAGATAAGGAAGCAAATTCCGTCCGCAACCATCAAGCGTCGTTTTGGCAGTAGCCTTGTCTTACAGAATCCTGAAAGGGGCCATGTTGCTATACACATGCTCGGCCTTGGTAACGAGGCCAGGTCTGATACGTACGACCTCTTTAACATTGGCAATCAGTCCGCCCTTTCTTCAAGGCTGCCATTACACGGACCATTCCCTCGCATGTGTGCCACCATATCTGATTTAGACGAATTTGGCGTTCTCCTTGCCGGGGGCCGTACCAACCCCGCGAAGGCCTTATCTGAATGCTGGCTGCTAACCAGGGGAACCTCTTGTTCCTGGAGAAAAACATGGGAGCTACCGAAGCCTCTTTACCGACATGCTGCCTTGCGCCTAAAAAATTCGTCCCTAGTTCTGGTGGTTGGAGGAAAGACCGGTCCTTCGGAGATTTCAGATGATGTGTTTGTTTTCCATCCAGAAAGGGGGTGGTTGACCTGTGAGAAGATTGGTATCCAACCCGAACCCCTGTTCGGAGCGACTATTTGCAACTTATTTAAAGCCGGGGTTGAAAGAGATGAATTCGGGGGATTATTGACTGGTGGCCTACGTCGAGATGGAACCTTCAACCTCAAACAATACCGATGGAATCTGAAGATGACTACATCTCAGGTCAGTACAAGAATCCCACCCCTTCTACAGACTTGACTCTAACTGATGATTGAAAATAGCCATTAATATCATTCGAAGAAGTTGCATTTAATGGAAATTGTGGAAAGCAGCTTGCAGTATTCGGCGCAACCATTGTAGACTTGGGGGAAAGAGTCGCCATCTGTGGAGGGGTGGGCGAAACTCCGTCTCACCAAGGCCAGACCATCCTACTCTTGTCAGGGGAGGATACCATGCCTGAAATCTTGGCATCAAAACCACCAACTGATATCGAAAACAACTGGCCCTTGATGATCGGCTCCTCGACCGTATTAAGAGATGGCCAAATTAGTGTCATAGGCGGTGGCGCCACATGTTTTTCCATGGGAACCTACTGGGAGACGGCAGTTTATCACTTGCGGCTACCCGTGGACAATGGTCTGTTAGCGGAATCTACAGATGATACCCTTGCTGGCACTGAGACACTGCAGTCTTGGGAGTACATGGAATCTCCAAAGATTCTTGGCAAAATCGACAATGATCTGTCGGCTGCTTCGAACCAAGGAGCAGTTATCATGACAGAGATCCCGCGAGTCACCCTGCGGTCTGCGGCTGAGTTCGATACCATCGTGAAGAATGGGAAGCCGGTTGTTATTGAAAAGCTCGACTTGGGCCCCTGCGTCCAGACCTGGACAGCAGAACATATGGCAGAGCAGGTGGGAGCAGAACGGGAGGTGAGTACCTTTGTAACAGACCGTGTTTTCGGTCATATTGAATTCATACCCAACTATTGACTGACTTGGAAACCAGTTCGTTGTGCATGAGAGCAGAACGGATACAGAGAGGCTAGATTTCAATTCCAAAAATTTCCAATATGTGACCGACTCTTTTGGAAACATTGTGAGGAGGATCCAGCAAGGCGGTAGGCTCTATTTACGGGCTCTTTCAAACTCCAAGCCTACTGGACGCCCGGCAAACATCAAGGAAGATTTCCCCGCTCTGGCAGATGATTTTATCATCCCCAAGGAAGTTGCGTTGGTAGAAGAAAACTTGTTCAGTTCAATTTTGAGGGTTTCGGGCAAGGTCAATATGTGGCTGCACTACGACGTAAGTGAACCTTGGGTCTCCTCCATATATCAATCTCACATCATTTACTGAATCCCTGGACAGGTCATGGCAAATATCTACGCCCAGGTTCGAGGGTCCAAGCGGATGATTTTATTTCCCCCAAGCGACGTATCCAGCCTTTCATTTGCCCCGGGGTCGTCGAGCTCGAGCATTGACGTATTCTCGCTTCTTGCATCCTCGTCATTGCCAAAGACGAGGCCGCACGAGACCAATCTGGCAGCAGGAGATGTTCTATTCATCCCAACGGCATGGCTCCATACAGCCACGCCGACAAGCGATATGAGCGTGGCCGTCAATGTGTTTTTCAGGGATCTTGACAAGTCAAGCTACTCCGCAGGTAGAGACATATATGGGAACAGGGACCTGGCGGCATACGAACGGGGGAGACAGGATGTTGCTAAGCTGGGGAAAAGTTTCGAGAGTTTACCACAAGAGGTGAGACGGTTTTACCTGGCAAGACTGGTAGATGAGTTGCTTCAGACGGGCGAAGCTGCTCATGAATAGGCTTAATGTTGTAGATGTCTAGATACGAAATGTCACTTGGCTCCCAACTGATCGCTTATACGCCCATCATGCTCTTGGATTACCCAACTTTTTTTCTTCCTTGATTCCTCGGAAAATTCGATGATCATAAAAGAAAAACATGCCTTCGATTTGTTACCTTGACTTCGCGGGAGGGAAGGAAGGAAAGTCAGCGACGGCGAGTGACGTCACATTAACATTTCTGGAATTTACCCAGATGCGATTCATTCACACCTGAACCGGAAAGTGAGTTCCTACACTATCAATTCACCTATAATCAGTCGCCCTAGAAAAACGAGAAGTGAAGAATAGCAACATACTGCAGCCATGCCACTAGCCCGCCTTCGTCCTTCCTCTTGGAGACGGTTTGTGCTCCCTGTCGCCCTGGCCGGTGCTGGAGGCGCCTTCATCTACAGCTACAGACCTCGTATTATCCCCGGCTCTGAATCGCCTGCTGTTCCGCCCCCAACCTACGGTCCCGATGGCTCCTTCAAGATGCCCAAGTTTCCTCTCCAGAAGCACCGGAGTGATCATCTCACTGACCTGCGGGATGAGTTCAAGTATGACATCCTGGTCATCGGCGGCGGTGCTACAGGGTCTGGCGTTGCCCTAGACGCAGCTACTCGAGGTCTCAAAGTGGCTCTGGTTGAGCGTGACGACTTCAGCAGCGGCACCAGCAGCAAGAGCACCAAGCTTGTCCATGGTGGCGTGCGATACCTGGAAAAGGCTGTCTGGAATCTTGATTGGAGCCAGTTCCAACTGGTCCGCGAAGCTCTCAAGGAGCGCAAATACTTTCTCCAAACTGCTCCGCACCTTAGCATGTGGTTGCCCATCATGCTTCCCTTGGACCAGTGGTGGAAGGCCCCGTACTATTGGGCGGGCACGAAATGCTACGATATCCTGGCTGGGAGCGAGGGGATTGAGAGCTCCTACTTTTTGACTCGCAGCAAGGCTTTGGAGGCCTTCCCTATGCTGAAGCAGACGAATCTGGTCGGGGCACTGGTTTACTACGATGGTGCTCACAACGATTCAAGGATGAACGTAAGCATTGCCATGACCAGTGCTCTATACGGAGCCACCGTTGCGAATCATACAGAGGTCACTAGCCTTGTCAAGGATGCCCAGGGAAATGTATGTGGCGCCAAGGTCCGAGATTTGATAGCTGTTCGTGACGGTCAGTCAGCAGAGGACATTACTGTTCGCGCCAAATGTGTAATCAACTGTACTGGCCCTTTCACTGATTCTATTCGAAAGATGGATGACGAAGAGGCCAAGGAGATTGTAGCCCCCTCTTCGGGAGTGCATATTGTGCTCCCTGGTTATTACTGCCCAGGCACAATGGGCTTGATTGACCCATCCACATCCGATGGCCGGGTCATCTTCTTCTTGCCTTGGCAGGGTAATACCATTGCCGGAACCACCGACTCCCCTTCCGCTATTTCAAAGAACCCGGTGCCAGAGGAAGAATCTATTAGGTGGATCCTAGACGAGATTCGACAGTACCTTTCCCCTGAGATTAATGTACGTCGAGGGGATGTTCTATCCGCGTGGTCAGGTATTCGACCGCTGGTGAAGGATCCCGAAGCCACCAACACCGAGTCTCTTGTCCGGAACCATCTCGTCAATGTTTCGGCATCCGGGCTGTTGACTTGTGCTGGTGGGAAATGGACTACCTATCGTCAAATGGCAGAAGATACAGTCGACAAGGCCATCGAAGTAGCTGGCCTGCAGCCACGACCCGTGCCAGACTTTCGGCGAGTATCTGTATCGGGTTCGGATGACGTCGACGACGGGGCCATCCTGGATGGGAGTTGTCAGACACACAAGGTGCGCCTTATTGGAGCTCATGGGTATAGCAAAACGCTCTTCATTCCGCTTATCCAGCACTTTGGCATCGAAACGGAAGTTGCGAAACATCTGGTCGAGTCGTACGGTGATCGGGCGTGGACGGTGGCGTCACTATGCCAGTTGACTGACAGGCGGTTCCCGGTCCGAGGAGAGCGGATCTCGCGTCTCTATCCCTTTGTTGACGGCGAGATACGGTATGCTTGTCGGCACGAACATGCTCAGACAGCCGTCGATGTACTTGCCCGTCGCACGCGCCTTTCATTTCTGAACGCTCAAGCCGCATTGGAAGCTCTTCCTAAAGTCATTGACGTAATGTCGGAGGAGCTGGGGTGGGATCGTCGCCGCCAGGATGTCGAATGGAAGGAGTGTGAGTTTTCTAGATTATTCTGTCTTCCCGCCTCGTTGTCTTCCCGAAATCAAGACAAGCCACTGACAACCCTATCCCGTAGCGGTGTCGTTTCTCGAGTCAATGGGTCTTCCGAAACCCACAGTTTCAGCTACCTTGTCTCAATAGAATTAGATGATATCCAGATAGATGATATTCAGATTGGGTCTAAATTCGTTGTGCAGCTTGGAAGTAGATCGCTCCTATCAGGCCTTGTGTTGAGCATCCTTCCGCCGTGCCGTGGCATCCTTCACTACGTCAACTAGCCTCTGCCTTTCCCCAGTCTGTTTCATCCGCGACGACGCGGCATTCTTCAACTTACTAATGAGGTCTTTCCGGTGCTCACTCTTCGACCCTTCTAGCTTTGCTAAAGTCTGCTTCCGATGCTCCAAGATTTCGTCTCGATCCTTCTCTGTTATACCACCCACTTTTGCCACATCAGCAGCCTTTTGTGCCGCCTCCTTGGCGAGCCTCATCGCATTTGCTTTCTGCTCATCTTCCTTCTTTTGGCGATCCCCCTCCCTCCGTGCCGTACCCTCCTTCAACACCGCTATAGCTTTCTGCCGTTGGATCTTATCTTCCTGCTGGTTGTTTGCTGCTGCTGCACCGGCCACTGGGCTGGTTGAACACGTTGCGCCATTGCCACTGCGGCGGCAGTTAGCTGCGGCATCAGAAGGCTTCTTCTGAGCAGCGTTCTCCTTGGAGGCTTTGGTCTTGGGAGCATTCTTGGGAAGGCTCTTCCCAGCAGGACTTTTCTTTTGGGCAGTCTTATTTTTTGCGCTTTTCTGGTTGGGAGCACCTTTCTTTGCAGTGTTCTTTTTAGAACCGGGAGTTTTCTTGGAACCTGTATTCTTCTTGGCTGTTGGCTTCTTTTTGGTAGCTGGGTTCTTTTTACCGCCAGGACTGTTCTTCTTGGGGCTGGAATTATGTTTGGCGGCAAGGGTTTTCTTAGAACCAGCGCTCTTTTTACCAACATGGTTGTTCTTCTTAGTACCCTGATTCTTTTTGACTGAAGGTGTGTTCTTTTTCGGGCCAGCATTCTTTTTGCTAGTGGGCCTGTTCTTCTTGGGGCCGGCGTTCTTTTTACCAGCAGGTTTCTTCGTCTGGGTGCTAGGCTTTTTCTTTATACCAACGTTCTTCTTTGGACCAGGGGTCTTCTTAGCACCAGCATTCTTTTTACCAGCGAGTTTCTTCGTCTTAGGGCTGGAATTTTTCTTCGCACTGGCGTTCTTCTTCGGACCAGAATTCTTTCCAGCGGCAGGTTTATTCTTCTTAGGACCGGGAATCTTTTTGGCAGCTGGCTTATTCTTCTTGGGTCCAGCATTCTTCTTAGGGGCAGGTTTCTTTTTGGCAGCAGAAGTATTCTTCTTTGGTTCAGGTTTCTTTCTGGTTGCTGGTGTATTCTTTTTAGGGGCAGGGTTCTTTTTGACAGAAGAAGCACTCTTCCTGGGGGTAGGATTCTTTTTGGCAACAGCAGCGTTCTTCTTGGCGGCGCGGGCGCTGAGAGTAGCATCTCCATACTCGCGAATACCTAGCAGGGTACTTTGTAGATCGTCGCGCGAAGATAAAATAGCATCGTCTTCGTCGCGAGGGTCGAGCTCAGAAGGATCGATATCACGGAGTCGAGGGAGATTCCCGCCATGGCCAGTGCTGTCGATGTGTGAGCGAAGAACAAGGTCTTCCTCGTCTCGCGAGATACAGGCAACCCTCTCAGAAGAATTCAGTAAAAGCGCAGCAAAAAGACATATTTGCTTTATGGAAATCATATTGAAATAGTAAGAGGTAGTATGTCAAGACAATGATGAAAGAAAAGAATGATATAAAAACGCTAGATGTTGCCAGGGAAAAAGCCGTGGTTTTTAAGGCAGCGATAGGGAGGGTCTGGGCTTCTACAGCAAGCCTTGTATCTTTTTATAAATTCGATGCCATGTTCATCGTCCTTGGCAAGATGAGAGTCTTCACCAGGTACACCATGCATGTGACTTTCATGCCCGAAGTACTCGTTATTATGAACTATAAGTAAGGTACCTTAGATGTGATATCGTCTAAAAAGGGACGTAACCTTCATGAAGGATCTATCTGATGAACAGCTCGTTCCACACAAGACCAATATTCCTCCATACATTATTTCTTTTGGAAATATGGCACAGCGGTTTCGCTTGTTGTTCGCTTATATTTATAGAATCTAATCATGTGGGAGCTGCCACCACTCCAGGTCAATGGGATTCATGTTAACTGCAGGTGCAGTTCCTACAAGGAACAGCTACATATTCCAAGGCCATGGTCTACGAAAGCCGCTTCCACGAGCTGCGAGGATGCGTAGTGGTGTGTCAGCTTTGACAGCTCTAGGCTGTGACTGGCTGATGCTTCAGGTGATATATGCAACAGACAGTGTCCTGATTGGATATATGCAACACGGGGGCCCCCAAACTTTCGGGGCATCTCTCCTGTTATTCTAGACACTCTCCAAGCACTCAGGCTCAAGGCAGGGTCACACTCCACTCCGAAGTGCTTCCTTTATAATCACAGTCAAAGCCTTGCGTCTTTTCGATTGGCAAAAGTACGCCTTTCTCTCTGTCCTTCACCTCTTCAATCCTCTGCCTGTTTTTGGCCATGTCTCTGCAAGATTTGCCCCCCGAGATCCATTCCCAGATTTTTTCACACCTTGTCACGTCGTTCGGGCCATCCTCAATCCACGCCGTGCTGAAGACGTGCAAGCAGCTCTATGAAGTTGCCCTTCCATTCTCAGTCCAGATATTTCGCAACACGGCACCTTTGCATATCGGAGGGGGTCCATGCTCCAAGATTCGGAATGCGCAATTTCTCCATTACATCCTCATTTCCAAGCCTGAGTTGGCCAAGTATGTGAAGACTCTCATATTTGGGTCTTTCTCATCTGAAGACAATTCACCTAGAGGCACTCCTACCAGCACCGCAGAAGCCCTTGGTGTGTATGAGAAATACATCAACGCAGCGTTAAGCCCTCCAGAGAGGAAGTCGTGGGAGGGTACGCAATGGTTGGCAGATTTACGAAGGGGCTCATCCGATGCCCAGGTCGCACTCATTCTCTTCGCGTGCGAGAAAGTTGAGAGCCTCTGTTTCGAAGAACCTGAAGATGCGAGGAGCTTTTGCTTTGTGCTGAACCTCCTGTCTACTTCCTTTGCGTCGCGGTCGAATCTACGACGCGTGTATAGCGAAGCCGCTGATGCCAGCTTAGGGTACAGGATGTTTGGCCAGGAGCCTTCGTCGCTGATGGCCCTACCTCGTCTCCGTCGTTACGAGTCTTCCCTTGCATGCGGCGATAGCTTGGCGGAGAAGCAATTCGCAAGACTTCCACGCAGAAGGTCTGCTGTGGAGGAAATCACTCTGCGCAGATCTTTTATTACGGGGTCAATGATTAATCATTTATTGGGAGCTTGCAAGTCTCTCAAGTCGTTTGAGTATACACGGGGCATCTATGCCACGATACCTCCACAAATGCTGGCCCGGGATGTCCTAGAGGCTGTCCTACCTCATGCCAGCACACTCCAGCACCTCCACGTCAATCTGGACGACGACTGGTTCAAAGAAGAGGTGGGCGTTCCTGAGAGGTTATATATGGGGAGGGAACTACGGCAGATGGTTGCACTTAAAACGCTTGTAGTCGGAATGCAATCTCTGACGGGTTTGCTTGACGGCCAGCCGCAGGGAGGAGGAGGGCGGATACAAGTTCCTTTGGAAGTCGAAGGAGCACCAAGACTTGTTGATTGTCTCCCCGATAATCTGGAACAGCTCCAAATCCATTCCTGCGGTGGACAGATTTTAGACCAGGCAAGCGAGTTACTCGGCGTCATTGAGAACGGGAAGCGCTTCACCAAACTGACAAATATTCATTTTCTGTTCAATCATGAGAGGATCAATTCCAAGGATGTTCGGTTACGCTGTGATTTGCCTCGCGTGCGGCTCGAGGTCGGATTCCAATCTCAAACCCAGCGAGGGTATGAGCTGGGTGCACCCTTGACAGTGTCCAAAAATCGGAAGCATAAGACTATTTGCTCCCAGATATTTGCTGAAGACTTTCGGTCAGAGTGGTTGGAGATGCGAGGTCGTTACACCACGAGGCTGCACCATCTACCAACGGTTACTTAGGGTTAGAGTTGGAGCTGAAAGGATACAAATATAGAGAGTGATCGTCAAGGCCAAATTTGATTCCCATTAGGAAAATTTGACGCACGTGGCGTGCGCGAAATCCCATGCTACACTTTCATACTCTGGATTATATGTTAATCGGGGCCACTTTGACATGTCAGTTTAGTCGCTACCCAAGCGAAAATGCTTCAATTAATGTAATTGAAATTAGAAGTCAAGATATTTTCAGACAAGGCAAATAAAACGTACCATACTTCAGACCCGAGTTCTGTCTAGGTACGGGCATCCACGCGGTTGGGGTGTTGATTCTGCTCACCCCGAGTTTTGTCCGGGGCGCAGGCGGGAAGTTGGATTGTTGATTCCACCCTGAATCAACTGCTGCGAATCAATTTGACCTTACCAGAACGTGTGAATACGGCGAGCATATGCGTAGTCATCGTCAGTCTCATTAACTCATAATGTGGCCACAACGTGCCCAGAGATGGGCCGAGCTCCTATTTTCCGCGATCAACGGGCACGCTTGCCATTTTGTGGCCCTAAAAGCTGTCTCCAGGACCCGAAGACTCTCCTTTCTTCGCTAATATTAACGAATAGAGCAGGAAAAAGGACTCAGTTGAGTATGATCTCGGGGGTTTGTGGTCTGTGAATTACGATTAGCGAATGACTTCACCCCGTGGTTTAAACTTTGCGGATATAATCGCTTATCCTTCGGTGATGTGTCAAGGTGTGAAAGTCTCTTCGTTATTTCTCATAGATGCCGAAATTTAGCATATAGTTCAGCTTTGAAAAGTTGACTGGATCAAGCATGCAGGATAGTCTGTTGGTTGACGTATCTGGACCGCTGCATCCTGCATTGCTCAGAGTGAGAACATTCATGAGTTGGGTTTGATAAGTGCATTCTGCTTGGGAGAATAAGAATTACCACCGCGGGAGCATCCAATCAAATTCCTGAGTATAATAAATAAAATCTGCATGGGAGGAAAGCGGTAGTATCTCTTAGCTTCGGCTTGGTATTAAGAATATTAAGAATTTCACTCCATTTTACGCCCTCAGATATCCAACTGGTCGTTGTTCTTCCTATACCCAAGGTTCCACAATCAAAGGCATTATAGTATATAAAATGTATATAGGCTGAATTATCAGCTTTAAGGTACAGGGTTTTAAATGAAGACGAGAGGAAAGAGAACCTACTTATCTAATAAACACCGGGTGAAATGTACTACGAAGAAAGAAAAGGTAGACCTGATACTAGTAAAGAAGAGAATATAAAACATAAAGAGGAGAATAAGGAAAGTGGAGAAGAGAGCGAAAAGAATAAAGAAGAAAGCAAGGACGAGAACACCACCGAAGAAGTTACAGAAGGTACTGCGGCAAAGCAACGGTAATCTTGGGCTCGCATCCTCGTCGAGGATGGAGATACTGGTAAGCAAGTCACGGAGGGCAATCTCGACTTCTCCAGCTCCCTTGAATGGAACATGTACTCTCGCCACAATAAGCCTTCAGACCGCGAATGATCCGAGCCGGCTTTCGCCCCGGCGGTTGCATTCCCGGAGGTCAATGCGTGAAACTTTGGCATAAAAGCATGTGATTAATATACACATGTGAAAGGAGATACAATTGTCTAATGTGGGTAGCATTGCGGTGGAGGAGTAAAGGGAGAAGAGGCAACACAGACTCTGTAAGCAACGCTCCATTCCCGCGAGCCTTGTCTCACGAGGGGGACGACCCTCCATCCGAACCACTCGGGCGTTCTGCACGTCTTCCTTCCTTCCTCCCCCTCCCTCACAAGTCTTCTCGTGAAGTCAGAAATTTTCAAGTTGCAGGGTGGGCGTGTGTCGTGTGGATAGCTACCTATGCTACCTTGGGCACCGTGCCAGAAGTGAACCACAACAAGGTGGAATACGATAGGAACAATGCCTCGAATAACCGCCGCCAGGGGTAGTGATCTCCATACCTCTGCCTTGTGTCAGTCACTGGACTGGTCAGCTTCCTCGTTCTTTTCGACTTCTCGAACCACGGAGCCCCACCGTTTACACCCATCAGTGATCACTCCTCCCCCCCCCACAAGGGTATTGTTCCACCTCCCCCTGCTTCGGCGGCCCCCGTCAGGCGATGCCTACGGCAGATCATGCATGGTAGCAATTTTTCTTCCTCCTTTCTTTGCCTTTGCCCTGTTTGTGTGTTACTTACCGACGTTGGGCACGCGCCATCAAGAATGGGTACTGATGTCTCGGGAGAAGAACCAGTCAACCATCAGGTCATCATTGGATTGTCGCATAACAATCACCAGCTCCAGTTTATTGTCTCTGTTTCACATGACCTAAGAGGAGCAGGAGTAGGACTAAATAATGGACTTGAATGGATTTGATTCGATTGTCCGCGACTCAATAAGAGTCCGTGTCTTTCTGCCCCCAAGTTATAGTAATACACAAAGTAGTAGTAATAGTAGTAGTAGTTATACATACACACACACTATCGCCTGCATGTAATATCTTTCGAGGACATACTCGTCAGACATGCCCTTCTTGTGGCGCTCAAATGTTTAAGCCAAGCAATGCTATGCCGTATCATGATCATGAGTTCATTACCACCCCCCATGCCATTGCTGCCCAAATGCGCCTATTCCAATGTGCTCAGTTCATTAACTATTCCTTCCCAAAAGAGAAAATAACGTAGGAAAGTAAAAAGGGAAAAACACTGATGATAAACACCCCGAGGTGCAAAAATAACTCCTGTTTCCTAACCCATGCTAATCGATTTTTGGTATCCAAATATGCAACGCACGCAGGTGTGTATCATGAGGAATGAGTGCATACCCTAGTGATTAAACAATTAAAGCAACTGTAAACTCCCAGCCAGATGTAGTTGGAGAATGTGTATAAGGGGAAAGAAGAAGTATTAGACGTGTGCACCAGCCCAGCAACGCCACCGGAAGATTGATGCCAGGATGTTAATCACACCCCGTTATTACCATCGATTTCTATCGGAGCAAGGCAGCTGGGAAACCAATAACGGCGTTCCTTCACATTATATTACCATGGCGATTCGCTTCATGCCCCGGAACTGACGACGTCGGGGGGGATCGTTTCGAAGAACTTCTGCGGTTGAAGCCGAGCTTGGCACCCATCTTCTTCCACCCTTCCTTTTGGGCAGCCATGGCTCGTTGCAGCCCCCCAGGGGAATTGTTGAAGCTCCAATCAGTGCTCGAAGGCGGTGTCGTTGGTGGTGTCATTGGCTCCATGGCGGCTGGTGAGCCACCCTCGCTGTCGTCGGTCAAACCTTCCATCTCGTGCGAGGAACCAGTCCGTGATGATGAACGTGGGGAAGTTCTCCCTCTGGCGACATTAAAATAAGGGGGTAATTTGTGTTGATGTGAGTCATGATGTGTGGGTTCGTCAAGCTGCATCGGGCTCACGGATTCGAGAAACGGAACCAGCACGGAGTCGTTCATGAGCTCGTGAATAATACGGCCAGCTTCTTCAAGAACTGAAGGGTGAGGGGGCGTAGGTCGTGATGAAAGACTAAGCAGCTGGTCTCGTACTCGCGAAGGTATGTTGATTTCTCGTGCCGAGCAAGGCGTAATGTAGACGGCTATCAGCCTGTCCCATAAATTTGACAGATACTCGACATCATTAGGCAGTGCGGGATGGTTGTCGCCATATACCAGAGCAAAAGAATCAGAGTATCTTCGTAAATCAAGGGTAAACTCCAGCGTCTCCATACAATGATTGTTCGACAGATAGGCAGTGAAGGCAGCTAATGACCATGGTGGAGGGGCCTGGTCGAGCAAAATCTCGGAAAGAGTTGGGGGCCGAGCTCCCATATCTGATCGTGGCGAGGAAACACTTGAAGCAAACGCACCGCTTGACGGTCTCGTTTCCGGAGCATCGAAGAGGATGAAGTCCTCGAAGGCCGATTCAGGCCTGGGCGACAGCTCCCGCGGTGTGGGAGGAAAGTAAGGCAAAGGTGGACTTCTCGATTTGGATCTGATCATATCTGATCTACGAGGAACAAAGCCCAGGTGGGTGCTATCCAAGACCTGATGAAATGCCTCCCTCGCCCCCAGATTCCAAACTATCTCTATAGCGCACGGGGGATATGCTGCTTTGATGACCGGCCCGGGATTAAATAGGTGCAGGAGAGCGTCAAAGCACCAAGCGGGCAACAAATGGTCAGAGTGGAGCGAATGCGTAAAGCTGTAAAGTCAAACAAGCAGTCTTTGGCGGCTAGTACTTTTAACAGATGTTTACTTCCTCAGGAACGCGGTCGTCGAGATGCGGCGAGGATGCGGCGAGGATGCGGCGAGGTGGCGAGTAGAGTTTGTGGCTTGAGGCGGCAGATAAACTCTACAATAGGTGGTGGTAGTGATGAGTGTGTGTGTGTGGTGTTGAATGGGAAGGCGAAATAGACTTTGATGGTTGACGTTGATGGCGGAAAACGAAAGTGGGAGTGATTGGAATGATAACTCAGGAGGAAAATGACGGTTGGTTCAGGAACTGAAACGGAGAGCAGAAAGCTACTGGATTGTTCTTATTATCTGAGATGGAGTTGTTTGGAGCAAGGGCCAGGGAAGGCTTGGAGCAGTTCAAGAGCGGGGACGCCGAGGAGTTTGTAGTGATGCTTCCGTCGTCGGGTGGCCAGGGGGGAGGGTGTGTGCTTTTTCGCCTGTCTGTCAGTCGCCCATGTCTTGAATGGCGACGACTCAAGGCTGCTGGGAGGAAGGAAGGGGCAGAAGGGAAGGAGGAGTCATGAAGGCAGGTGCTGGGGGACAGTACCCGGCAATACCTCTGGGCCCCGGCTGGTGCCTTCTACAACGGGCATGGATCGTGCAGCAGCAGGGGCGCCCAATGTACTGCGGCGTACCTTTGCCCGCGGAGGCCTGTCAGAGACGAAGGGACGAGACAGGTAGGTACTGCTGGCGTGGTACCGGCGCAGGTGCATGGCGGCTTGAGACACTGGCAGCGAGGGAAGAGGAAAGAGTGTGTGTGATGTGTGTGTGGGCTTGACTGCATTTCTCTCCAACACGGTGAGGGGCGCAAAGCAATCTTTGGCCAGGCTAGCCTGACCTCCCTTACTACGAAGGGGAAAGTGAGGTAATACTACGGGTCTGCTGGGTTGATCGCACCCACCCTGGTATTTTTTTTTTAGCTTGCGGAAGCATCGCAATCGCACCTTGTGGAGGGCAAACGACGTCGGATCACGTCAGGGGTTGTCGTGGTTGTCCGCGAATGCCGCGTCCCCAAGGAACAACGCCCATTGTGAAGGCGTTGGGTAGCTAACGATCGCCAAGGCCAATTCCTGCGTCCACCGTCTGGCCTCGCCTCTGTGACGAATTTCCCAGCAGCGGCTCGACAATCCTTCCTCTCTATCCCGTCTTGCCCGTCCTACCCATACACCTCCAAGCAATGCAATGCATGCATGCATACATGCACAAGGACGGAGGTACCAAAGCAACTGGTACCTACCTCGGTAGGTGGACTAAGCAGTTAATAGCCTCTCCTTTTTGTATCATCATGACTGGGATTGCTCCTAAGCGTCCCCACCATTCTTGTCCCTGCCCTGCTCCACCTATCATTTGGGGCCTGCCTTGTACGTAGATGGAGGCGGTATTGGGTACTTGCATTTTCGCTTTCCAATCATGGCTCTGGAGAACAGGCTGAGCACTGTTGTTGATATTCCCTTTCGCTCGCCAGGTCTCCTCTAGTGGTTGCAATAGTCTCCGGCTGCACCGTTGCTTTTGTCCTTGCAGTCGGCGGTGCTCAAACCGCCCGGATCCGATCAGTAGATGGCACAAATGTGCCGGATAAGTTTCTCGACGCGAAATGCGGAACCCGTCTCGGTGATTCACTGGCAGAAGTACTAGGTACACGACCCACCGCGTAAAGCGCGCCCTGTTATGTCAGAAGGGTGGCTGGGTTGGTCGGCGATTAGCTAAAGTGTAGGTGGGCAGCACGGCCAGTGGCTGCTGGCGGTGCAAGTTTGCCCCCGTGCATGACGCTAGAAGGGCACTAGAAAGAAGTCTCTCTGGCCTGCCGACAGGGATGCAGCAAGGTCAGACCATTAGAGTCTTCTGGAACGCCATCAGTCCGTGCAGCTCGTGCTAGTGCTGGGTTGTGTGCTACCTGCATGTGTCCATGCCTGAGTCGTTGCACGAGAAGCCCAAGCAGGAGAGAGACGGCGATGATGTATCCAATGTCTCTTATCGGAAACAGCAGGGAGAGACAGCCGGAAGCTTTGCCCCATGACCACGGCGGCAGCACTGCAACCGGCGGCAACCCGAGATCTGCTCATCCGACAGGGCAGACCTGAAGCCAGTATGGTTTCTTCAGCCCATGCCACCCGCTGTGTTTTCCTCGAATTTTTCCCATAGCTCATTATGCGGTGTGAACATCATCTGACGTTGAAGCTATTGTCTAGCGTGCAAGGGCCCAGAAAACGGACCGGTGAGTCAGTCAAGACGAGGCATCCTGACCGAACACAACCCCATGCTACTCATGCTACTATGTCTCATGTACACAATCGCGAATGGATGAACAATGGAAGCAGGTCTGGATTGGGATATTCTCACACAGGTAGAACCTTTTGGTGCAGTTTCAGATCAGATAATGAATACAACATATACACATGACCCGCTGAATGGCACCTGTCCGCACAACCAAACAAGTAATATCTACTCCAGTTGCTCTACTCCCCTCCCCACTGAGTCACCTCGTTGTCTGTCTTGTTACTCGCTCCTCAATGCGATGTCGCAGCAGCGTGTGCAAATGCCGTCTCCATTGGGGAGGGATACCCACTACCGGAGAGCCCAGCGTATGTAGATACGAACGGTTGGGTCCCAACTTTCAAAACACTGGCCCAGAGCCCGCCCGAGCTGGAGAGAAGACACGCCCAAGGGGCCCCCTTCTTCGAAAGTTCTATCCATGGATTCCCCATAATCATGATCGGTCGGTGTGGATGTGAGTCTGAGACAGCGATTGTTCACACGATGACACTTGACAGGGAACCACTCTTTCCCATCCTTTTACGGATCAGGGTTAACCAGTGACATACAGGGCCGTGCTGCGATGGATCTCGACAGAAGCCATCATGAATAGCCCCGTCACCTAGTAGAGTGCCCCTTGCGCTATGGGTTCGCCCATCCGACTCCAAACTCCCGATCTCAACAGCGGCCTCGAGATACGACGCACCTCTTTGGATCACCGGGCGGTGGAATGCAGAAAGGGGTTGCACCAACCGCAACATCGCAGACAGCATCCAGCTCAGCAGGCAAACAACCGACGAGTGCCGGCAGGCCTTCGCAGCAAGGAGGGTCACATTCTCCGGTTGTACTCGCAACCACCCATGACAAATCTCTCCGCAAGAGACTGCCAGATTGGGCAGCAGGGAAAGGGCGGCAACCGACCAGATGCGTTATTCCTTCCGAGCGAGCTGCAAGAGATACCCCAGCCAATTCAGGGCCCCGGCTGGTGGTTTCTGGGCCATTCCCAGCCTCTAGTGCACCCCTCCTTCGGCACTTGAGCCTGGTGCATCACGCGATCTAGAGTTGGTGTTGCAGCACGGCGTCATCTCGCGTCCACGAATTTATCAATGGTATGATCTACCTCACGCCATGGGCGGGCGCGACGAGAATGGGAACAAAGCGGAGTTTGTAAGCACGCCCGCGCTGAAGGATATCTGGTTCACACATCTGCCAGCCGCGATGCACCCTTCCAGCATAGTGGTGGGCTCGCGCTCGGCCATGGCATCCCATCCAATAGACGCCGGCGCCAAGCTGTCATCATGATGATGATGACGACGGCGGATGGCACGACAGCGCAGGTTGCCATCCATCCAACCCTCCCGCCTGGGAGAATGGGAAAAAGGGCAAGGGGGTGGTCCAACTGCTTGGGAGCGGCGAATCCCACCGTCGATCTTGCTGCTAATGCTCGTCGGGCGCCCGTCAAAGGACCCAGCCTGCCAGCGCCAACTCAGCCTCCTCCCGCCGACGCACTTCATTCAATTTGATGGCGATCGCCATTTCGCGTGTGGCCCGATCAGACGCCTGGGTACTACATAATTAATCGCCCTCCGCCTGAGGTGGTAGCAAGGTCGCAGTGCAGCGGGCGCCCGTGCGAGTTGATGGTTCACTTTCATCTTGGTGCTGCTCTGCCATCGAATGTGAATGTGCATTGTCGCACATTGCCACCGCTCGGCCATGCTACGTCGCACTTCTGAGAACCGTCTGGAAGCTGGGCCAAGCCACGGCACGTTCTGCTATCCCCTTGTGGGAAAATGGAAGCGAGGTGGCAATTTCTGGAACCCTTCCGCTTTGGTCTTTTTTTTTTTTTTTTTTTTTTTTTAAACCCTCGCCCTTCCCCCCAACAAACCAAAGCCAAGACGAGGTAAGGTAATAGTATTGGCCCGGCCATCTCCGGTTTATCAATCTTATTTTCTTTCTTTTGCCTCCATCGTCATGTCATTGTGGACCCAACCCCAAGATGCCCCGCCAAACTATCATGTAGATGCAGCCTGACCAAATCCAAAATTCTCTTTGCCTGCTTGTGACTGACTGCGCTTTCTGCGCTCGGTTCGTGACAAACACCACCACTTTAGAGTCGCCGTGTAAACCTCACCCCCTCCAAGCACTCAGCCTAATCCCCCCCGACTCTCAAACGGTCCGAACGACCTGACCGGTGCATCCACCATGCAAGCCACGGCGGCTGTTGTCTAGACTGCCGGGAGCCGCCGTCTTCATTGGCTGTTGGCCTCCCGCGGCTCCGTCCTTGTTCGCCTCGTGTCGGACCACGAGACGTTACCAACAACAATGCGCGGTAGGAGAGAGTCGGATCCTACGTCCAATAGTCTCTGCCAAGTGACCATGCAACAAGCCATTGAGAAATTTTCAGCGGTGAAACAATCACAAGCAGGGAAGAAACTTTTGAAGTGGAAACATTGGCTCAACCGCCTCGGTTTTTGTCTCATTGAACGCCAAACAAGGTACTACACAGCATACCTATGCTAAAATCTGCACACAGCCCCGAGCTTCTCTTTGCTAGCAAACATCCCCTTTTTCCGGTCGTCAAAAGGCTCTCCTCGGCCTGTCGTTTCACTTCCCAATCCTCTGACCTGCCAACGCCTTGAAATGCATGCATGGTATCTCTAATGATGTAAATCCCTTTTCTTTGCCAATCACCCCAACTCCTAAAGTCGTACATCAACACCGAATAACAATCCTAATAGATAGAGCAGCAGAATATAATAATACTTCCTTCGAGAAGGTGTAGAAAACACAACACGCAATCATAAGCATAATCCGTAAATTCGTTCTTTTTTTTTTGCTTGTTTGTTTGTTTGCTGGTTTTGCTCGGGCTGATCAAAACACTCCTAGGTCAAAATCCCCGCTGAACCCTCGGTTCAGCAACACACTTGCGATTCGCAGGCGCTGGAGGGGCATATCTTCGGTGGAATAAGAGTCGATGGGGTTCAGCCCAAGGGCAACACACATGGCGTTTGTGATTGTATGAACGCCGCAGTCCCATCCATTCGTCTGCCGGGGTGCTTCGTGCTTAACGACAGTCCACTCTTCAGCAACAAATGCGTCCTCTAGAACATTCTTGATCCATGCCAAGGCGAGGTTCGTGTTCAGAGGAGAGCCAACAGGCCTCATGGAGTCCATATGGGATACGGTGCGCCTAGAGGGCCGGACAACCAGAAGTGTCCAGTGGGAACGCTCGCAAATGGGCATTAAGATGGTATCAATGTCAAGGAAGTTTCGTTTCTCGACGCCGTAGCGTCTCAATGTGCGTTGCGTTCGTCCAATCCCCTTTTCCCTTAACTGCTTGAAGAAGAAGGAACTCATTGTCAAGCATTTACGAGTCTGCTTCTTCACATCCTTAATGCCAGCAGCCGAGTTGATTGCCTGGTCAAGCCACATCAGTGAGCCGTTTACGATCTCGTCGTTAAGCCACTCAGTCTCCGGAACAACCTTGGCAAAGTCATGCCGTCTGAGGTCAATACCCTCAACGGTCGTGGTGAGCGAGGTGGTTGGTGCTGAGGTCAGCGTCTCACGGACCTTTCGGTTCCAGACTCCAGATAATGACGGCACAAACTTTTGTCGAGGGACACGAAGGCCGCCGGTCAGAGCCAGGCGAGCTTCCAATTCAATCCGGGCTTTCTCTGCCGCAGCCCGTTCTGCTGCTTCCGCTGCTTCCGCTGCGATTCTAGCTTCCTCCTCCCGTTTCTGTGCGAGAGCGGAACTAGCAAGGTCGCTCAACTGTAGAGATATCGGGCCTGAATCTGAAAAAAGGGCATCGAGATTGCGGAACGTTTTCTGCTCTATTCCAGCGAAAGGTTCTTTCTTAGAAGCCGCGGGGTGTGGTGACACAGGCAGTGGTTGGTAATAAGAACGCCAGAAGATAGGGGAAGAAGGTGGTGAGGGTGAGTCCCTAAGTATGGACGAAGCTGGACGAACATCTGGGAATCTCAAGCCCTTCTTGGAGATGCGTAATGTGCGGCCAGGTTCCTTGAGTCTCGGAATACCACTTCTAATGTGTGTGCGAGGCTGTGGGGAAAGTGTGCTGACGGAAAACCGAACTCGTTTGGGCAGTCTGAGGGTCTTCAAGCGCTTTGGTGTATCTCTTGAAGGGTGTTTAAGGCGAGTCCTAAGGATCGAGCTTAAGTGTTGGTAATCTCCCATTGGGAGCCGAGGGTCAAAGTTTGTGACATATTGCGATTTAATAGCACGAGAGGCATCGATCTCGGCCTTGTCGCGCTTGTCTCGACTCCAAACGGAACCAAGATGCCGCGCCCAAGCTCGGAGACGAACCCCCTTGCTTGTGTCGGTAGCTCTTGAGATGGCTACTTGAGTAGGTGCGCCAGCATTGTCTGCGATTGGTTTTGGGGGGGGCTGGTTGGCTTCTGAAGGTGCTGTGGCTGGCCTTTCTACCTCCTGCACGGGTTCCGGTGAGTGAGGGACCTCAGATGGAGCACTAGTCGGGCGGGGTGTGCTCCGTGGTAATTCATTTGGGAACGTGCCGGGCATTTCCTGGACTAGAGGTCCACGGACTGGCGCCGGAAATCTAGTCATCATTTCTTTGAGATAATCTGGTGAGTCAAGGTAGCTTGGTGGTATAAGCCCTTCGAAGATGGCATCGATGTCCAGAAGAAGGCGATCAATAAAGCGCATGGTAGTCTTATCGACAGTGGTTCGAGGCAGGTATTCGTAATTGGTTGTCAAGTCGGCTAAGATGTAGAAGATAGATTGAAACGAGAAGACGGATTTGATGTGAAACAGGGCGTCTAAATCGAGAGGGGAAAATCCAAGGTCCAATCGTGGGTGAAGGGTCGGACCATGAAAAGCTTTCAGTTCAGAAATCTTGCGCCAATCATACACTCTAGGTAGGAGTTCAAAAAGCTGGTCAAGGAATAAAGTATACAGGTCACAGTGACTCCGAGGCAAGGTTTTCCCACACATGATGGGCGTAGGGTTGCCGATTGAACCAGCAAGCAGAGTGCCAATTGGACGTAGTTGGTCGTTGACTTTGCTTCGCAAGCCGGGCTTCGAATCTATCTTCATCCGCGAGAAATATGAGAGCGTGGATTGGAGTCTTGTGCAATAAGCCTCGAGGCCTTCCAGTTTTTCGTCGGAGGCCCATTGGACTTCGCCTTCATATTCTTTGGGCTGGTTGAGCTTTCGTCGTTTGTTGACAACATTGCCATCAGGTCTTTCCTGGCGAGTCTCGACGACTTCTTGAGAAGGATTTGAGACTAAAGCGCATGTTAGTGTATCGGGATTTCCAACCCAAGATCAGTGAGGAAGCCAACATACTGTAACGCGTGATTGTCTGGCCAAAGCCAGTCAAGGCATGCGCCACGCTAGAAAACATACTGAAGACCGATTGTACTAGTCCTGTTGGTTCCTGTGATCTGGTTAGCATCTTCAACACTAAAGCACGATAGGAATTTTACCTACAGTGTGCATATCGACGTCAGGGACGTCGTCTTCGAGGCCAGGGACGTCGTCTTCGAGGCGAGCTGCCTGGTGATTGATATCGAGGGGACTGCCGGAAAAGATGGCATGTAATGTGCCAGCGGCTAGGTCCAACTCGTTTGATGACGCTCGACGCTTTCGTCGAACTGGTTCATGGGGGATAGCGAGTTCGTTGTTATGCTGGCTATCGTCCAAGATAGCGTGTGGGCGGTTCTTCAATCGCCAGTGACTGTTGGGATACGGGCCGGATGCTTCCTTGAGCTCCAGACGGGAGAGATAGTCGAGCTTATTGAGCTCCTCGGAGGGGTATATATCGTCTACAATAAATGGCTGGTTGGGGCGGCCCTGGCGGATTCTCGGCGGCGAAGTAACGAACTCAACGGACGGCTGGCTTTCGCGTCGGACTGCCCCTCGGGCTGCAACAGCAGCTGACTGCACGCCACGTCGACCAAAGCGCGTGAGGTATTCGGTTCTAATCTTTTGGTCTCGACTGATACGCTCCTGAATGTTGCTAGAAGATCTCCCTCGGCGGCGGGGCCTAAGTCGGGGCCTAACGTTGGCAATCCTAGCAGGCTTGGGGTAAGCCGGCGTGGTGTTAGCTAAATGCACGTGAAGCTCACGGCGGTGCTGTGAGAATGACATGGCGCGTGAGAGATGCCGAAAAGTATCGGCTGGGTGAAATGAAGTGTGTGTAAAGTTTGGGGGTCAAGAGATGAATGTCGAAGTGTGAAACGTTGAAAGTTGTTTGGTGATGTTTGTTCTTACAGAAATTGCGTTGGAAGAAGACGCAGATGATTGAGAAAAGAAGAAGCGAGAGAGGGGGTGGGCGGTCGCGTCCTAAATTGTAAACAATGGGCCGGAGTGATCTGAATGCCCGGAGTGAATAGGCTTTGGCACAGCAATGGGTGGCGTGCAGGCGTTGGCAGCTGGCAGCTGGCTGATGCTGGCGACGACGCGGCAGTACATGTAAAAGACTGAATCGGGCGGAGGATGAAAGCTTCGGACCAGGAACGCAACTTTAGCTTTGCGCCGGCAGAACACCGGGTATCCGCTTGTATCCGCTGTTGGGGCTGTTGTGGTGGGGCAACCCGTCGGCAGAAGCTTTATTATTCGCTTACTGCGTTGTACTAACCTTTGCGTGTGTTCTACTCCATCATGTACCCTCAGAGTATCTTCCCGTAATACACCTCGCTGCTTGGGGACTTGAACAATAGCTGCCTGTTTTTTGTCTTCCAGCCAATAGCGGATCTCAGTTCGGGTACGTATTGTTGTCTAGTGATTTCCATGCTCATGCACCATTAAGGTTCCATCCTTGCCAACTCAATGAGCGAACGCTGTGCATGAGGTCGATGGTGATGCCAGCCCGCAACCGTGCGTTCTACCCATCATCCGGGATTTCTCATAGTGCAGCCTAAAGAAACCCTCTGTGTAGTTTAACGAGTACCTAACATATTGAGCTTCTTGATAGGTGTATGCCTGAGATTTACAGGCAGCCACGCCGGTCCATTTTCGACTACCTTACCTTCGGTATGAGAGAGCAGTGTGAAGGTGGTTTTTTTTTTAATATCCATCTCACTCATTATTCACTTGGTGACAGTTCACTAGAGGATGCATGTTGTTTTGTATTTGATATTTTCATGGGCCCTATGGATCCCGCTTTGAACACTCAGCCGCCTTTTCCAGTGCCAACAGGCCTTCTTCGCCGCTATCCAGAGGTCTGGCTGGCGCTATGGCGACTTGAACATCGGACGGCCGACAGCAGCTGGCATCCTTTTGCCGGGCAACGTAAACGTAAACAAATAAACAAACAATTGTGTCTTCCTGTTAACAGGACGACGCCAGAGATCGTCTTTGGCAGTGAAGACGTGATTCTAGGTTACTCTACACTGTCTCGCCCTGATGCGGATTGAGGTGTTGACTTCTTCCTTGGACTGCTTTGCGCATCATCTGTATTCGCGAGCCAACTTGTTGAGGATCTCTCTTCCAGATCTTCAATTCCCGTTGCGTGGCGTCTGATCTAATGGGTCCTCAACAGCAGAAACAGAAAAGGAATCGCTACTCCGATCCCTCAAATGCTTCCTTAACGCCCCTTGAGGGCAGTTACAACCACACTGCCTCTTCTCCCTCTTGTGCAAGAACTCACTCTCTATCTCCTCGAAAACGAAATCTCAAGCAGCCTCTCCATATCCGGATGAACTTGACCGAGACTCAGGTGAACAAAATCACCGACGCGTAAGTTATTTCAGTTACTGTTGCTCCCTCCTGCGAGCTCTGAAAATCTAAGGTTCAGGGGAGTTATAATCGCAGAAAATAGAATAAGACAAAATGCTGACTCGGATTCTTTGATCAAGGTTCTCTGGCAAAATCAGCACCAGCCCTATCCGGTCGCAGCACCAGGAAAGCACATACAGGTCATCAAACGACTTCAAACAGCATCCATGCTCGGATGATAAGAGCATCCATGCCCCAGCTTCTGCATCTACGACATTCTCCGACCTCATGCCTCGGCCAGACTTCGGGCGTCTGACCAATACTCCCAACTTGGCGGAGCGAAGACAAAGATCGACACCAACCCCGGTGCGGGTGGGAGAAAACAAGCCGAGGATGGAGAAGAATATCCCCAATCGGCCAGTTCCAGAGGCCGCTCCCTACCCCGTATCTCCCCTCAGTCCGATGGAAATGTACGAGGCTAGTGACATGAGAGTCAGCGATTATTCTAGCGGCCAGCATGTCACTTCACCCTCAAGGCCAAATCCGCTCAGACTTCGAGGGGATGCCAAGTATCAGGAGGCCGTGCCTGGCAATGTCAATGTGATGGACATGTATGACTCGTGGGTCCAGCACCTACCAGAAGTGCCTCACGGGCATGGACACCAGCCACAGCGATCCAAGAGCACTCTCGACGGGTTTGGTCGTGGAGACAGTTCCAGTATTCATTCTCGCTCACCCCAGAAGGGAGTATTTAATTCCCGAGAAGTGAATGAGAGCCCGCCTTTTTCTCCATTCCCTTTCTATTATCGTGAAAAGGGTATCCCTGTTGAGAAAAGAGGAGGAAAGACGATGATTGGGGAAGGGGGTTGGTTGGAGCGGCCAGATGGCAAGGCAGACACGGTGAACCAGGGTTCGAAGAAACCAGGGATCCTGGATGGGATCAAGAAAATGGCCAAAGACATTGTAAGATTCTCGAAGCTCACAACTAAAAGCCAGCATTGCAGTTTGCTAACATGATTGTAGACCGAGTTCCACCATTCTGGGCGGCGGTCGAAGAAAGTCCCAGGAACCCAGATGGCCGTTTCTCTTGATGCGAGAGAGCAGAGTCTATTGTATTGTGAATTGGAGTTCCATCTTACCAATTCTATCAATGGCTACATTGCAGGGGAACTTGGCAAGGGCCGTTTGGATACAGACAAGCTGAAGAAAATCAGCGATGCTTGGCTCCAGCAAGGTCGTCCAAAGGTCGTCGGCTTTCGATACGATCTAGAAACACAGCTCGATCTAATCAACTTACACATCGACGAATTTGTGTTTCATGGCCGTCGTCAAGGTAACCCAGCAGAGATTGTAGGTCTTCTACACTCGATGAAGACGAACGCCCGAGCTATGAGGGTGCGGACCTTCTGCCAGCCAGATGCAGTCGTTGCGAGACAGCTCGTGGATACCCAGTCGTTGTTCAATCTCCTTGGTGTAAGTAGGCGCGAGCACATGGCACTTGCCGAGATTGGGCAATTCTTCAAAGCCTGCGTTGAGAGAGAAGATCAAGTCAGCAGATGAGCAATAGCCAGGCCCTACGGATCATGTAATTGAGAAAGGGGTGGGTGAGTGGAGGTTTCAGCTACTTCCTAATTGGTAAATGGAGGAAGAATGATAATTATGAGCAGCAGTGACGATTCCGCGACAAGATCAAGTGCTTCATAACAGAGCCTGAGGGATAGGATCTTCACCCAAGCATCACAGAAATCTCGATGAGGGAATATCAAGCTTGATACGGTGTGGCAAGATCGTTGTAATGTATAATAGAGATCCATAGCCAAACAATTTCAACTAAAAATTCTCCTCCGAACCGTCGGCCTGTTCCATTCAGCTTTAAATCGCTCGTTCTCCTGCTCCAGGTCTGCGAGTTCGGCATCTCGCTTGTTCCTCACTACTTTCAGCAACTCGATTTCTTTGAGCAGCTGTCTGTTCACTGTCGCCATCTTAACAATTTTTTACAAGTGAATAGGTATATTTTGGAGAGTATGGTACAGTACTATTTCAAACCAGAGCAGAATTACTACTAATTGTTGGGCGTCACATAAGCAATGGATGAATGTTTGTAATTGGCTTGAATTATCTAAGCGACTCCGACAAACCTGTGAAGTTCAAGCGTAAAATGGAGGCATAATCGTAGATTTCGACAAGACCGAAACATTTAACATATCATGGGGATAAGCCGAGGCTCTATGGGCGAGGACAGACGAAGGGTTCGTGTCGAACGACTACCTCGGAAACGAGGATACAGATCAAACGGATACCTCTGAGTGAGACTCACCATGGAAACAATGGTCAGCAGGAAAATAGTATAATCAAGAGTAGTAGTTAAAACGAATGTTTTGGCACTATTAATCAAGTAGATGGGGAAAAGACTTAAGGATTGTGCTAAGTAAACACTAAGCCTCAGGTTCATGCTCTAGATCTTGACTTGACACACACTTTTATGTAATCACGATATAATGAGCAGCTGGATCGGTGGAAGAAGATGACATTTGCCTTGAGCGAATGTGCTCAAGGTAAGCTCGGGAGTTCGACGCCATGCTCCCACCACCTACCCATCATACATACTACCTATACAAAGTCATGATGTTAACACGAGCCAATTCTTCCACTCCATTGGTTCCAGGGCACTATTAGGACTGGAATGTCCGAAAATTGGGCTCGCAAAATCCCAATGAGTGATCAGCAAGGTGGCATTAAATTTGAAACACTCGATCATCACTGGGCTTGTTTTTAGCCTATAGCCAGTACGCCGGATCTCTATGACGAGGCTGCAAATAGCTTATTATTTTGTATATAATCATGATACACACTACAAACTCACACCCAAGGCACCCAGCGATTCAATCCAAACTGATTAATTCTCGGTGGTGGTTTTTATTCCCTCTGTGGCAAGAGCTCGGGCATAATCTGACTTGGCTTTCTCGAGAGCATCGAGTGTCGGCTGCATCAACTTGAGGACAGCATCCCGCCCACCGCCAACCATATCGGCTTTCCAGCGAATCTTCTTGCCCGTTCGCTCGTAGTGCTCTCTTATCTCTTGTTTCCGTCGTTTGATAGTCTCCTCCCGTTCTTGTGTGGCCTCATCAGCTACGGCAGAGATACGGGCGGCCGAATTACTCAAGGATTCCGCAAGGTATTGAAGTTCGGCTGCACGATCTGGGTCGCCAGAAAGGAATGCTGTCCAGAATTGATGAAGAAATTCAATCGTCGTTGCATGAGTCAACGCGCATTTCTCGGCTAACTGAGATGATAGCCCCATTGGCGTGGTCGAGTCACCAGCATGGCCATATTTCTGGGAGCGTTGCTGGCTAATGCCCTGAAGAATTTCCTTCTCCGCAGCTCGGATAACAGATCGCGAGCCTACATGAGGACGCCGTGCGCGAGTTGCG